ATCAAGGCCGAGATGATCGGCCACTACCTGGGCGAGTTCTCCATCACCTACAAGCCCGTCAAGCACGGTCGCCCGGGTATCGGTGCCACCCACTCCTCGCGTTTCATCCCCCTCAAGTAATCGCTTATTTTTAAATACACTTCGACGGCGAGGGCCGAGGCTACTGAATGGACTTAACAAAAATGATCGATGCGGTTAATTGATCACGCGACACTGGCGTGTCATCCTGTTGTTACCGGTGCTGGAGGGCCTGGTGGTGGTGGTGACGGCGGCGGTGGTAGGGGCGGCGGCGGCGGCGGCGGCGACGTGACCGTCGTGGATTCCAAGGTCTCACCCGGACGTTCCGTCTCAGGATCACCATCACGACCAGGCGCGGACGCGGACGCAGGCCCAGGCGGCAAGCGGCTCGCGCGCGCGGCGCGGGCAAGCTGCTGGCGGCGTCTCACGTCGGCAATCAGCTCGGCATACTCGTCCTTGTACCGGACCTCATGGCGCTGCAGCCCCGCATCGCCCGCGTTGGCGGCCGTCGCCGCCGTCGGCGTCGTCCGTCCCGAGCCGTCGGCGGCGGCCGTGGACGCCGCCGGCGCGGCGTCGCTCGCGGTCCCCGTCCAGAGGGCGTCTGAGGGCGGCGCCGCCGTGACGGTGGCGGCGCTGCGCTCGTGGGCCATGACGCGGCGCACCAGCTCGCGCGCCGAGACCGGCGTGCGGGCGTCGCAGTTGGCGTTCCACATGTTGCGGAACTCGGCGTGGCGCGCGATGAGCGCGCCGCGGGGCCCGTGCGTGGGCAGGCCGTCGGCGCGCAGCAGCGCCCGCAGCTTCGACTCGGGCAGCAGCGCGTAGACCACGGATGGCCGCGGCGAGTGCCGCGGCGCCGCTGACGCCGACGCCATGTCGAGCAGCGGATGGACCGGCCACGACATGCCGCCGCCCGGATGACAGGCGGCGGCAGGGCTCGGAGACGACGACGTGGCCGCCGTCGTAGCGGCGGACGCCATCTCGGCGCAGTTCGCGTCGAGGTGGCGATTGAGCACCCGCGCGGGCATCTCCGCGCCGCAGATCGGACACGTGACGGCGGCATCGCCGCGCGGCTGCAGGCGCTCGCCGCGGCCGTCGTCCTCGCGCGAACGGGCGGGGCCGCGGGTCCGACGGCGCTTGGCGGCGGGCGGCGACGCCCCCGCCGCCGAGAGCGACACAAAGACGGCATCGTCGTCCTCGCTCGCCTCGTCATGAGCATCGTGGCTGCCGCGGCGTAATGGCGGATGCGATTGCGACATCGGCGGCAACGGTGGTGGTGGTGGTGGTGGTGGTGGTGATGGTGGTGTGCTGGCTGCATGCAAGCGGCGGGAGGACCGGCGCACCATGCGGTTCGCTGCTGCGGGTGCCGATGCCGCCGCGGGTGCCAATCCCGGTGCCGGTGAGGGCGACGGGACCGACACCGCTGCCGGTGCCGCCTCGACGTCCATCGCGCCGGCACTATCAGACGTGCCGTCGCCATCCACCACGTCGATGTCAATGACGGCATCCGCCCGCTTCGCCACGACGGGCGTACGTGCTGCGGCGGCGACGGCGGCCGCAATCTGGGTCTGCGCGACGCGCAGGGCCGCGACGAGGTCGTCCACGGCGCGGTTAGGCCGGAGATCGGGCGTCCCGCGGAAAGCGGTGCGGCACAGGGGACAGGTGTCGGCGCCGCCGCTGACGGCGCGGCGCAGACAGAGACTGCAGAAGTTGTGGCTGCACGGGAGGAGCATCATCGGCGTCTCGAGCCACTCGCTGCAGATCGGGCAGCGCAGCAGGTCCGCGAGCGGCGCCAGCGCCGCCAGCACGGGAGAGGCCGGATCGTCCGTGGCACTCGGCGGCCCCGTGCCGGGCGCCATGGCGGCGGCGGCGGCGGCGGCGGCGGCGACGACGGCGGCGGCGGCAGCAGCGACAGTGCGCGTGGCAAGGGCAGCCCGCGCGGCGCGAGAGAACGGAGGCGGACGCGCAGCGCAGCGGTCGAGAACACCCGTGGGCATTGGTCGCGAGCGGCCCCGCGGCTCCCGGCGTCCCCGCGCCCGTCCGACGGCGCGGCCGAAGGGGGTCGCCACGTGCTGCCCGAGTGCCGCACGTGCGTTTGAGCGGCGCGGTCAGGGTCCCCGGCGAACGCCGCGCCGCGCCGGTCGGCCGGCCGGGCCGGTTCATGCCTGCGCGTGGCGCGTGGCGGTTCGTGTGGCGTTCGCGGCGCTCTCGGCTGGCCCTCAGGGGGGGTGTTCGGGCTCACTCGGAGTCGGAGTCGGAGTCGGAGTCGGAGTCGGAAATCACGGCCCGGAGTCGGAAAGGGAGGGAGCAAGGGTGCACGGCGCGGACGCCGAGTCGCCGGTGGCGGCGCCGTCCTCATCGGGGTGGGCTTGGTTCGCGAACCGCCGGCGGGCATTCACCAAGGCAGAGGCCGCGGGCGGTGGCCAGGACGGTGGCCGTGGCGTGGCCGGCGACACCGGGCAGCCGCCATGGCCGACCCGGCCGCCGGTTGCCGAGACCGTGCGAGCGCAGGGTATCCCATCGGCGGGCACCGACGCCGACGCCGTCGCCGCTGTTGGCGTCGCCAGCGACGGCGCGTGGGGCCGGGCGCTCGATCAGCGGCGGCACGGAGGCGCCGTGCAGCGCGACGACGATGCGGCGTTGATCGATGCGGCATCCGGCATCCCGCATCCCGCATCCCGCATCCGGCGCCTGCTGCTGCTGCTGCTCTCTTTCTCTCTCCTGCACGTCTGTGCGTCTCCCACGTCGAACCGCGTCAAGTGGACAGCCCTTTCGCTGATTCCGCGATTGCCTGTCGCTGCGGGCGCACGCCGGAACCCCCGACGCCTCCGGATCGCGATCCATCTGGGAGCACGCCGTCGCTTCTCCCGCGCTTCTGACGTCCTCCTCGCGGCGCTCGGGCTCCAGCGCAGCGATGGCGCGCTGGACCTGCGACCCGGCCGCGGGTCGCCTCACGCGCACCCTGGCTGCGGGATGGACCGACCACGTGGCCTCGCGGTCCGCCCGCGCGGTCTGGCGCCCGCTGCGCATGATCCGCCGCAGCCTCGCCGACCAGACGGCCGCCGCTTCGAACCCAGTCGCCCCTGAGGCCGCGCCAGGCTTCGGTGATGCGGCGGCGGCGGCTTCATTCGCTGTGCTGCGTGACCACGTCGTCGCATGGCAGCGCCGTCTCAACGGCGATGCGGCCGCGGCGGCCACGGTGGCCACGGCGACGGCGACCGACCGCAGCCCGGCCACGGTGCGCGTGCTCGGCCACGCGTCGGCGGTCGTCACCGACTGGCTGCGCGCGTCGCTGTCCATACGGCCCACAGGTCCTGCGGCCGCGACCGCGGCGTGCGACGTCGCCGCCGTCGCGAGCGATGTCGCCCGGCTCTCCCGCCGTGCGATGGACCAGCTCGCGGCCGCCGATCTGGTCGTGCTCGCCTTGCGGCCCGCCGACGTCCTCGCCGCCGCCGCCGCGCAGGCCGACACCGCCCCCTGGTCCGGCGTAATGGACGCGGGGCGCGACCTCGTCGCTGTGGTCGTCCACGACGGACCCCTCTCTGCGTCCGAGCGCGAGGCCGCCACGGCCACGTTGCAGCGGAGCTTGAAACGCGATACGCAGAGCTTCGTCGTGCAGCACGTAGTCAGGCCAGCCGGCGCCGACGGGCCAGCCGGGTGCGGCACCCCCTGGGACCCCTCGGAGTTGCACCACTTCCGCGACCAGCTGGCGCGCCGCTTAACCAGTGACGAGGCCGCCGTTGCGACCGACGTGCGGCGCCGCCAGCTCGCCCGGTTGCGCGACGAGATTCACCGCCTCGTGGCGCAGCAGCAGCAGCACGACCAGACGCTCGTTGCACTGAAGGCGGCCGCCCAGTCGCTGCTCTCCGGGGTCCCGGCTACACTGGAGCCTGACCAACCCGCCGGCGAGGCCGGCGAGGCCGGCGCTTATTCGGAAGCGGCGTTCGCCAGCGACGTGGCGCCGATTCTCACGACCGCGCTGACGGCACAGACCGAGGCCGTGGCGCTGCTGCGCAAGAAGCGCTTGACCCACGTGCTGCTGAGTCCGTATCGCCTCGTCAAAGAGATCCAGCACAAGGCCTCCCCCTATGTGTATGTCGAGCGCCACGAGCCCTTTTTGGCCTTTGCTGCCGGCCGGCTCCATCAGTCCGTCGCCACGCGCCACATGCAGCTGCTGCAGGCCATGACGGCGCTCCGCGCCCGTGCCGCGCAGAACGTCGTGCATGACGCTCTCGCGCCGCGCGCCGCCAACCCGCCCGTAGCGGCACGCGCCGCCTGTGACGCCGTCGATGCGGCCATTGAGCAGATCGCCGCCCTCGACCCGCGCCACGCGCCCTTCGCCGATCCGTTCCATTTCGGCCCTCATCTCGAGCGCTATGACGCGGATGTCGAGCAGCGCCTCGCCAGCTTCCAGGCCACGACGCTGCGCTTGATGCAGTCCTACGTCGCGGGCCTCGGCGCGTCGGCGCTGCTGCTGCCTGCCGTTCTTGCCGCCGGCGTCTCGGTGGCCACAGCGCTCCCCGTCGCGGCCCTCACCGCCGCGGCGGTCACGGCAGCCGCGCGCTGGCGCTGGCTCCGGGCGATCCGCCGCCTGGATAGCCGGCTGTGCCGCCACCGTGCGGCCCTCGAGCACGACCTCGTCGCTGACTACCGCCGCCTTGGCGCCAGTCACTGGTCGCAGCCATCTCACATCGCCATCTCGGAGCTGATCACTTCGCTCGATGCCCAACTGGCCGAGACCCGCCTCACTATCGAGCAGCTTCAGCAGCTCGCTCACGCGACGACTCGCTAAACGCCGTCGACGGTCTCCGCTCCACATGCCGACCGAGACCGAGAGGTCATCCAGACAACACCGTTGGTCTCAATAAAATAAGATAAATGAGAATACACAAATTTGTAATAAGATGTCAGACTGCGATAGATGTATAGCTCGGTTTTATTGGCGACGGCGCATTCGAATCACTGAGCTCCCAAATTAAAAAGAACGACACCGGCAGGATTTGAACCTGCGCACAGAAACTGTAATTGATTTCTAGTCAATCGCCTTAACCACTCGGCCACAGTGTCAAACACTTGTGTTGTTGGACGGCCACTTCTGGTCGCTGGTTTGTACCACATCTGCTTACATAAGCAGTCTGCCACGTGGCA